TGTGGGTGGAGGCAGCATTAGGGTAATATTGTTAAAGTTGTTAAAAGGTGAACTATGAGGCGAGTGATCTTCACTCAACCTCAGAGCCAACGTGTGACAAAAACGGTCACACGTCGGCTCAGTAGATCAGGAAGTGAGCGAACACATACCGTCGCTCACTTCGATCATGTCCCTGCAGAGAGCTGTGACTGTCTCACTGCAGGGATTCCCCCCCTCCCTGATCCTCCAGCGCCAACTGGTGCAGGGGAGGGGGTGGGTACAGCTGGCTCTGCCTCTAGATAGGCAGAGCCAGCTGTGACTCACAGCTGGGTAGATCTCAACAGTAAGGTCGGGATCCGTCCTAGCTGCGGTGGTCTCAGTATACCATGAGCCGTAGCTCGCGATATACTGACCTTTGAGTCACGGGAGGATGCTTCCCCAAAAAACACCCCGGTCTTTAGCTTGGTTTTGAGCGCTTCTCCCCTCCTTTCTCTGATAATTATTTTTGTAACTTTATTCTGCATAAAACATGTAACAGTCATTTATAAAATTGTTTAAGAGGGTGTGTATACGGGTGGAGTTAAAGCGGGGTAGGGTAGGGGTTAGGTGGGCAACTGGTGCCGAGTAACTCTTAAGGCCTGGCTAGTAGCTCAGGACTTGAAATTTTGACTGCTGAAATATTTATAAAAACACAGCAAGTTTATACACAAACAGCAACGCTACATGCAAGATAGTACACCCATCAAGTTCTTTTCATTTACTGCAGGACTTAAAAAAACTATACAGGAGGTGACTATTTTAGTAACATTACAAACATTCCATGGTATTACCACCATCAACAAACACTGCTCTAGTGTTATGAACCCTAAGAGGCCCTGAGAACGTAAAGCCTTCCTGTAGTCCAAGGATAGGGAGCTGCAACATGCACAGCTGATCTGAGCTATTCCAAGAGTGGGGCTGTTAATTCAATTAACATTCCATTGCCTCCACTCTCCTGCATAGTGGAGTAGCAGAGCTATGTTTAGACACTGGCACAGTGCTTCATCCTGCCAATATACATTTACAGGCCATTACCACTTTCCAGTATTAAAGACTCCCTAGACCAGGTACATAGCAAGACTTGCATTGGAAAGAACCTTAGAAGTCCTTTTTGAAATGTCAGTGCTAAAAAAGGAGGTATTTTAGAGTCATGTGAATTTTGAATTATGCTGAATGCTTTAGATTTGACTTTTTCTCTTGTAAAGCCTGCAGTAGGTTAGCAAGCAGAGAAACTCTGCTCCCTCCACACAATGGTTGAGTGGTTTAATCTAGGGCTGCAGCTAACGATTATTTTCATAATCGATTAGTTGGCCGATTATTAAGTTCGGTTAATCGGATAAAAAAGAAAAAAAAAAAGGCTCCAGTGATGGACTACTATGTGATGCGCGGCTCAGGCTGCATGTGGAGCCCCGAACAGGCAAATCAATCGATAGCCGACGAATCTACGATCGAAAACGTTTCCAATCGTCGATTTTAATCGACTAAATCGATTAACTGTTGCAGCTCTAGTTTAATCCTTGCAAGATTTGAGAAAATCCAATATCTGATTGGGGTTAATAAGCCCTTAGAGATTGGTTTTTATCCAGTTTGCAAAATTGGAGATAAGCCTATTTTGCAGAGCCTAGTTCTGAATGAACTTCCTGACAGAAGTCATTTTTAGCACATAGGTCACAAGATTCCAGACAGGAAATCAGAGCTCACAAGACCTTGAGTGGCTTGTCAGTTTTTTTTGGCACAGGTATCTGTGCTCCGAAACAGCCCCAAAGCCTTGTTTTGTTATAAAGTCAGCAGTTTTGTTTTTTCCTTTTTACACATTCCTTCAAAACTAAAGGAAAAATGCAAAAACTCAGCATTTGTAGCATTAGGAGAAGATGCTCCACAGAAGAAAAAAAAAAGTTAGAAAATCCCCTACGTGATTTGTGCAGACTGAAACAGCAGTACATATTAGGCCAATGTAGATAAAGTGCTCTAAATGGAAACTGAAAATTTATGGTGAACCAATAAGTTCAATCCAGTGCATGTGCAGATGCAGCTTAGGGGCAGGACATAAGCTTTCATATTAGCTGCATTGACAACCCCCCCATGTTGTGCTATATGTAGCACGATTCAACACTATGAAAGTGTGAATACAGTCTTAATCTAGCATGCAAGTTTTTTTTGTATCCATAGCTTCAAAGCTTTAAAACTAAACATGAATAGATTTGGTAGCACATCTAAAATTAAAGGTGGCTCTTCTGTCAGTTTATAGACTGGACAATCTTAAGGGGACTGCTACTCAGACTCAAGACTAGTACCATACAAGAGTGTGCTGCACGTTGTGGGTGGTTCAGCAGCTCTGTTCTGTTTACACCCATGCAACACTTAAAATAATGTACTTCTAGGTAGGGTATTGAAGTTAAGAGTAACAGTTCTAGACATGAGCCATTAGTCACCTCCTGTCCAGAATATGCTGGGATATTAAGATACAAGTCAGCCACATGGCTTGACCAGATACAAGCTCTGGTAGTCGCTTATTTTGAAAAGTTACTTTACAATAGTCAAAGGGCAAAGAATTTTAACAATTACATTTGGCTTATCTGGAATTTTGCTTCATAGGCCAAACAGACCAGACTTTTACCTTGCCTGCTACCTACCTTCTTTATTCTCAAGAATGTTTGGTGCAAATCCACCTTCATCTCCAACATTTGTGGCATCCTGACCATACTTCTCCTTGATCACATTCTTCAAGTTGTGGTACACCTCAGCACCAATACGCATGGCCTCCTTGAAGTTTGATGCTCCTACTGGAAGGATCATGAATTCCTGCATAGCCAGCTTGTTACCAGCATGAGACCCACCATTGATCACATTAAATGCCTGAAACATGACAGATGGGACACGTTAAAGGTAATGATTTTCAGCACAGAAGCCCAGCTACCATTTGAACAAGGGTCTTGTGTGAAAGTCAGCCTAGTGTCACTAAAATAACTACATTTAGTGGAGCTCTCTTACAGATTTGCTTATAAAGCAAACCAATTGGAATTACTGCACATTAAACTGCTTAACAGGAATCTGTCAAATACACCAACATGCAGTCCTTCATATGCTGTATGTGTTCTGGATCTGATGAGTGAATTCTATGCCCCAGAACTCTGTTCATAGATTGAAACACTCCACATCTGTACACTCTGGGTTGGCAAACTGAAGTATTAAGCCATTGATCTGCATAACAGCATTTTTCAGAAAGTAGCTATATCTACACATTGCTTTCAAACTATGGAGGTTTGAGAAGTATCCATTTCACAACTTCAGTGCTGAACATCTGAGAGCCTTTGGTGGTTGCAGTGGAACACGCATGTAATCTGGGCACATTACAATAAAAATGTTTGTGTAAAGCCAACTATAGCCCCCTTTCCAGATGTACATTTTCCTTAACCAGATGACTAGCCTGCAGAAAATTCTGTGCATTGGGCCAAAATAGTCGTTCCGACTGTAAAACCCCAAAGACGTGGGACAGTCCAATACAGGAGATGCCAAAAGGCTGACCCATAGAGCATAGGAATATACCTTGCAGGCTAGGCAAAATAATATTTTGGCTGAAGGCACCGACGATATCTTCAGTTACCCTCTACAACACATGCTCACTACAGGTTTTATGAAAAGATGGTCTCATGTACTGGGATGCCATTCAAAATTAAGGACACAGGACTGATGCATGACTACATGTACATTACCACAATGCAAATATGTTTAAGTCTGCCTCAGTTTACCAAACCTGTAGTACAGGCATAGGTACTCCAGCTGTAGAGCAACTACAAATCCAATCAAACCTCTGCCTTTGGGAGTCCGATGCAACCGTAAGTCTTGAAATGCCTTTTGGGGCTTTAGTTCTACAACAGCTAGGGTGCCAAAGTTGCCTACCCCTGCTGTTGTAAAATGGGTCATTTCAATCTATATCTTGCCTGCATCTGAGATACAACTCAGATATTTCCACGAGACCCAATTATTCTCTGCATGAACACACTTGCACAGTATACATTAAAAAAAAGGGACCTTCCAAACTTACTGGAACAGGCAGGATGACCTCAGGGTTCCCAGCCAGGTCAGCAATGTGGCGGTAAAGGGGGACTCCCTTCTCAGCAGCACCAGCCTTGCACACTGCTAGGGACACTCCCAGAATGGCATTGGCACCAAACTTTGCTAAAAGTAAAAATAAGTTACATAATTGTCTTTGCACCTTAGGAAAGCAGAGCCACATATTACAGATCAGTAAAGCAGTTCCAAGGACACAAAGGTTAACCAATTGTGGCATTAACCACTAAACTTACCAGCTTAGGAGGCTATAGATGCCTCCCCCTCCCTCACACCCACAAGGTCTCTGTATCAGGTGGCTGCTGCTGGGTCCTCGCAGCTGAGGTAACGAAGGGAAGGGGAGGAGTCCAGTGACATCGACATCAACTGACTCCTCCCTCCTTCCCTTAGTTACCCATCACGGACAACTACATCACCCGACTCCTCCCCCCTTCCCTTCGTTAGCCGACAGAGCCACTTGGGGAGGGGGGGGGGAGAGGAGTCTGGTGACATCAATGTCTGTGACATCACCAGATCTCCGACAGAAGCCGGCGGAGAGGTGAGTACTTTGATCGATCAAAGAAATTAACGATTAATCGTTAATTTCCACACCCACTAAAATGATATATATATATATAAAGTTTATAGTAACAGATTGTGATCAAAGCATCGCTTGTGGCAATTGGGCCATTTCCAGCTGCCATATGGGAGAACAAAATGTTGCAGTCCATAAGGGCTCATTACAGTTTTGCTGTGACCAGAACATTGTTCAACCTTGGTTTTTGGTAACAGCTACTGTAGTCAGTATAAAAGTGATGGTTAAGGTTTTATAAAAACAAGCACATTTATTGTCTGGCATTGTTCAGATACCTACATTTGTTCTCAGTTCCATCCATATCCAGCATAAGTTTGTCAATCTTCTCCTGTTCCACAACATTTACATTCTGCAAGAGAGATAAAATATTCCACCTTCAGACTATTGACTCAATGGCCCATTTATGCATTTCATGTGATCCATGCATAGGCAACTGAATTCTTTACAAAAGGAAAAAAAATTAAAAAAAATCCACCTTGGCATCTCTTCTATCAGGCTGTAAATTGAATCAGGGGATGCCGTTTGGCTCTTCAGGTGCAATTGAAAGAACTATGGGGTAACCTTTCCATAGGTCTCTTTAGGGTCACAGGAGGACATATACTAACATCCTCCCGTGACCCAAAGCTCAGTATATAACAAGCTACTGCCTGCTATATACTGTGATGCAGCTAAGACAGATCACATCAATGCTGTCTAGATCCACCAAGGCTGGCTGATAGGCAGAGCTTGCTGTCATCTGTCATATCATCTGTCATATCTAGAGGCAGAGCCAGCTGAGCCCACCCCCTATCCTGTCTGTTCCTCCAGTCAGTGCTGGAGGAGAGGGGGGAATCCCTGCAGGGAGCAATGACTGACAGCCACTGCAGGGAGATTGGAAGTGTGAGCAACAGTATGTGTTCGCTCACTTCCTGATCTATAGAGTTGACGTGTGACAGTTTCAATGTCACATGTTGGCTCCAGCTATGAGGACGGGTGTAAAATTAACTCCTTTAACAGCACCACAGCCCTTAACCCATACGTTTTTCAAAACATTTATCAATCAACCATTTTACAGGGGTTGGGTAAACAGTTTACAGGAATCAATTAAGGAATGCATGCCGAGAAAAAAAGCTAGTTGCCAGTATATTCCTAAAGCCTTTAAGCCAATACAGCAACACTGCTGAAGATGCACTGCCGAGTAGCTAGGCACTGATGTAATCTGCAAGTTAAGCTGTGCACTCGTTAAATTAACCTGAAGCTAGTCTATCAAGTGTCCATGCACACCTGTTGCTGTAGATCTACAGTGAACCTGCCCATCCCTAGCATGCATACAAGTATCAATCAGCATGTTTAAGTCAAATAAGGCCTGTGAGAAAGCGCTAGTGAGGTCGATAATGATTTTGATGGAGGACATTCTGTGAATGTAGATACCAGTGTCATCTTTCAATGTCAAGGCCACAATAAATTAAATACCATTTGGTGCAATGGTTATTGCACTGTACTAGTGATCTACCCATTTTTTTCTGCTGAACACTCAACTAGTGCTTTTGCTGGGGCTTAGGTATTTATGAATTACATAGACTGGTTGAAGACCAAGCTGTCCAAGTTAAACCAATGTTCTGGTCTTTAAAAAAAGCCTCTATACATTTACCTTTAGGCCCAGTACACACCACAAAGGCTGCATTCCAGAGCGTTTGGCCCCTGGAATGAATGCAGGGGGGGCCAGCTTGCAGGGGTGGGAGGGGCGTGGCAGTGCACTCAAGTCAATGGCACCACAGCTACGCCCCCACGTGATCGCCTGCACCTGGAACGCAGGCACATTAGTGCCTGCGTTCTGGGCGATTGCACTGCAGGTGGGGGTGTGGCTGCAGTGCCATTTACTTCAATGCACTGCCACACCTCCTCCCACCCATGAACGCAAAGAGCTGGCTTGCGTTCTAGAGGCTGAATGCTCTGGATGCAGCCTTTATGGTATGAACCAGCCCTTATAGGCAGGCAAATATGAAATGCATATATAGTAAAGCTATTCTGTTTAGCAGCCAGCAGGTGGTGCAATAAAGACCATTTACCATCTCTGCAGAGCCATCACAAAACTGATGGGTGATTTGATCTATTTAGAACAGCTGAGACACCTCCCACTTGCTCTCAAATTTCACCAGAAGTTATGTGCAAGTGAGGAGCAAATGCTGGGTTCTGTTAGAAAGCCTAGTATGCGCTGAAAATCGTATGGTAAATTGAAAGAAAAAAAAAAATAAAAATGGGCACCGACTTGGTGACAACTAAGGAGATTTCCTTACACTGTTAGTCACCATGGCAGGTGGTGGAGAAACCTTGGGAGACCCTAATGACCTGACAGTTATAGCCACTCAGCTATTAAAAATGTTGTATATAAAACTATTTTCCAGCCAATTAAAAAGCCAATTTAAAACCTTATAAGTCATCTCCAAGAAATTTAAGTTTCCTTTTAAGAGAACTTAAAACAGATCAAACTTCAATGTTGTAGCATGTTGACTCTTGCAATAAGCAGTTTCACCTACTTCTATAAACCCACTTTGGCTAGTTGACAAAAATGTTAAGACAAACGAGTCAAGACAAGGTTAGCAAGACCAAATCCCGTACCTTTCCAACCAGTGCTGGTGCAAGGGTTTTATTGATGTGCTCAACGGCTTTACAGACACCTAGAAAGGACAAGTACATTCAATCACTGCACTTATCACACATTTGCATGCTCCAGCGACATTATTAGACAGACAACTCCTGCTAAAATGCCATCACACCAGGACTTGTTTTACACATGTTCACTCATCTGCATATTATAGTAGGTTTTAGTATGACCAGAAGGAAGATGCAGATCAGTGACCAGCAAAATAGTTTTTAGAGTGTCACTGACACAAGTTTAATGTAAACCGCTCTTAGTTTAACATGTGGCAAGTTACCTTGTGCCAACAGCACATAAAATATTCAGACTGTTGCAATATCTTGAATGGTTGTAGGTTATTAATATCATGCATTTCTAACTGGGCAAGCAGGAGAAGTGGGCTGCCTAGGAATGTCACTTTGGAGAAGTTAGTCAAACCCCATGCGCTGGGAGGAGTGCAGGGCACAAGCTCCCATTACCTGGGTGGTCAAGGCAGGTGCCAGAAACTCGTTTATATATTTCACAGCTCTTTTAACACCTAAGTAAAGGATAAGAAGACAGGTAAAGGATAAATAAAAAAAAAATAAATAAAAAAAAAGAAGAAGAAGAAGAAGAAGAAGAAGAAGAAGAAGAAGAAGAAGAAGAAGAAAAAGAAAAAAAAAAAAAAAAAGAAGAAGAAGAAGAAGAAGAAGAAGAAGAAGAAGAAGAAGAAGAAGAAGAAGAAGAAGAAGAAGAAGAAGAAGAAGAACACAGGAGGAAACAAAGACTGACAGCAATTTCCTAAAACCAATTACCCCATTAGCAGCAGCTAAAGCTATAAAACCATATGAATTCCAAAGAGGTCCCATGACAGAAAACTGATCAGTGCTTTGGTCTGACAGAAAGTTGCCATCTTGCAGCAGCTATCCATTATATGGGCTCTTCAAGAAATTACCCTATTGAACTATTAAACCTATACTGAACAAGTCAGTTTGGAAAAAGCACAGAAGCGCACCCCCCCCTAAAAACACAAAAAAAAAAAACTGAAAGGTAGAGACTTACCCTTTCCCAGGTAGCAGGTTTTATCATTATCACGGAGCTCAAGTGCCTCATAGATACCAGTGGAGGCACCACTGGGTACAGCAGCACGGTACATCCCTGCAAAGAGAAAACAGTCAGTGAGTAAGCTTCCAATATGGGCTTAAAACATGGCCAAAAGTTAAATCTACCATGATGACTTTGCCAAGAGAACAGATTTCACACGGGTTTTAGAAGAGCTGGACTTAATCTAAAGCTTTGTTTGCTCATCTTAACATCTCAAGCATCACTGGGCAGTCTCAATAAATGTCACATCTAATTGAGAACTTAAACTGTTGACATAACAAACATAAAAAAAATCTCATCACAATTCTGTACTCAGGAGCAAGAATTCTGCAAACTGTAGCTAATTATGAAGCTATGACACTTACCAATGCCTTATATTAAAAATATACCAGTAGGAAATCCCTAGATGTGGACCAATTATTGCAAAGGGGATTTTCCAGCTGGACAACATCAGTATAGCAGACCACTAGCACTTGGGAGCTATATACCTGTACTGTAGCAAGGCATAATACTCTGCTAATCCACTAGCAAGTCCAGGGGTCAGCAACCTGCGGCTCTTTCATCCCTCTGCTGCAGCTCCCTGTCCAGGGGTGGAACTATTGTCAGGGCCTGAGGCTGTGGGGGGGCGCAGCGAGTCCTGGGCCACCCCCTAGTGGAATATGCGGCAGTGCAGGGTCCCGGGGCCCCGCACTGCCGACGGGCTTCTCAGCAAGGGGGCAGGTCCTGTGACTCCTCTCCCAGCTGCGTCCCTAGTAACAGGCGGTGAGAGGAGTAGTGTGTATGGCTGGTACCCATGTGAGGGGTGTGGGCAGCCTGGGGGGGGCCTCTTACATGAGTATCAGCTGTACCAGGGGCGGCATGGCAGAGGTGACAGGGGAGGGGGTGGAGGAGGCCAGGCCACAGCAGTTAGGAGTTGGGAGGAGGTACAGGGAAAGGGACCCCGGCGACCAGTCCACCTGAGGCCCTGCAGAGCCCACCATATAAAGTATCGGATGGGCTGTGCAGGATCTATGGTGTGCTCTGCAGGGTCACTCAGGTGGGCTCTGCGGGGTCTCAGGTAAGCCCAGAGTCCAGTGCGTTACTAAGCCCACATATACCTATATACATGCTTTACATAGCATAAAAAGTAAAAAACTATATATGCCGTGTTATCTTCATTTTAGATGTCAAAAATGTTTTGGGGCTCCCGGTTTTTTCTTGTGGGAAACTGGTCCAAATGGCTCTTTAAGTGTTTAAGGTTGCTGACCCCTGGTCTAGTCAGACAAAAGCTTTGTAACAAAAATTCAGAATCACATTCTAGATTTAGAATCAAAGTCAATGCTTTTTTTGTAGTTTGTTTTATATAGTGAATTCAGGTTGTTATGTCCCTGTCCCCCCCCAGCACAATCAGTGCAGTCTGTGTCCCAACTGTCTTGATTACCAGAACTAGAAAGGAGAATACATGTGTATTTTATAGTTCTGCCTGTAAACTACAATGCAGGTGGGGGCATTAGTCATCTGTATCCAATAGGCTAGGTCAGGTCAAACCATTAAACAATCTGCTCTTACATACTACCACTAAGCAATCTTTAGTTATAGCCGTTACTTGTCAAACATTGCACCTCAAAAACAAAAAGGTATATTTTTATGAATGAACACCAAACAGCACTCACTGCTAAATGGAAAGTACAAGAACAGTTCACTCTATCCCAAACTGAACCTAGATTTGGTTTCATGCTGTGAACGGCATGGCAGGACCTCTCAAGACACCCGTTCATGTATTCAGCTGTTCTTGTACTGAAGACAAGAACTACTGCCAATTTAGCTCTAGGGAAGGCAAAGTGGAAAGTTACCAAATACAATAGCAGCAACTGAACACCATTTGGCCAGAATATGCAAGTGTTTGCTAAAGATGTGGGTACCTGTTATATGGCAAAACATTCAGTTAATGCCCCCCTTTATGTTTCTAATATACCCCTCAGCACTTCAGGTTTAGATTGCATTAGTGTGGCTAAGTGACACTGAGCTTCTAATCTGCGCACTTGTTCCATTTGTTGACTAAAGGACCTTTGCCAGAGATCAGCATTACAGACCACTACCAATTTGAGATGTTATCAAAGTAAGCCAGCATGCCACAGCTTGGGATTACTTTACCAATGATTGATCAAACCATTGTATCAATGCATCTGTGGTCAAGAAACTGGTTTCATTAATAAGTGTTAAAACATCTAATTTTGGGCCAATAGAAATGATGCACTCAAAATGATATGCTCCCCATTAGATGAACACAGCTTTTCCTTAACCATCATCCAAAGGTCCTTGACAGTCACATCATACAGCATTTGTCTGAATAGACTAGCTTTCATGGACCTATGGAGAAACTTTCTGCTAAACCACACCGTTTGGGATGGGGTGGGGATAGGATGTTGGGGAGGGATGTTGTTACCCACCTTTAGTTGTAAAGAGGTCAACCTCCACAGTGGGGTTACCACGGGAGTCAAGAATTTGCCTTGCATGGATCTTCTGGATGGACATCTTGGTGGTTTATCTAAAAAGAAACAGAAGCATAGTTAATCAATTATGCCTTATTTTTACTAGGGATGCACCAACAAGCGCTTGTGAAAATGCCCTGATACCAGGCACTAATGCGGTGCTTTCAATTTTTAATCCAAACCAGCTGCCCAAGGGCCCATGCTTGCTGGGAACCTTGCAGCAACTGTGGCAGTCAGCTTCTATAGAAGAGATTGAGGAAGTGCCCAATATGCGGCTCGTTCTGCTCCCACAGCCTGAGCCTGGAGTATGCCCGCAACATTCAGGTGCACACCCCAGACTCCAAATCCCCACAGAGCAGACACCTTGAGTCTCTCGTCCTAACACCCAAAATCCCCCAACTGGTATTTGGGTCCCAGCCATGCCCCCTCTGTGCCAGCCCCACCACTATTCCTCCATGGCAGTGCTGCACCCCCGTCTCCCACAACACAATTATTAACCTGGCTGCAGCGCCACTGCTCCCTGCTACTGGACAAGAGGGGGGCTGCCAGGGCTTCACAAAGAACTGGGTGCTGAAGGGAGTCATTGAGTGCTACCAGCAGAGCAAGGCAGTCACCCCCTGGTGCCAGCTGCGCGAGAAGAGCCCCAAGGAGGTGGCCAGTCTGCTACTAGTATGTGGTGGAGGGAAAGCACAGCAACCATGAGGTCAAGGCACTGGAGGCTATGTGGAAGCTGCACAAGGTGGGCAGGGTGTGATCAGGATTGAATTAGGACTGGAGCTGCTGTGAGCCATTAGGTGCCAGTTTGTAGGCAGATTCCACCAGACTGCAGAAAGGGCTCCTCTATAATCAGTTGCTTGTTTTCAGGTCATTGTGAAAGCTGCACAAAGCAGGCAAGATTTAAAATGAACTGCAGCTGCTGTGAAATATCAGGTGCCAGCATGGTGCCCCTCAACAGTAGGAAAGGGTACCACTTTGAATAACTGGTTTTTGAGCTTCAGGGTTGATGTGGAAGCTGCATAAAGTGGGTGTGGGGCAGTTTGGGTTGTAGCTGCCAGTTTAAAGAGATTCCACCCAAATGCAGGAAAGGGTAGCGGTTAGGGATGCACCAATACTGTATTGCTGGTATTTGTAGTCCCTCTACAGATTTGAGTCAGTGGCAAAGCTACCAGTGTTGCAATTGCGACTAGGGCCTGGCGCTCTACTGCTGCCCTAAAATCATTAGTCTATTGTTTTAGAAAAGTAGTCACAACTTTTTTTTTTTAAATCGGTATTGGTACTTGTACTGTAGAGAAAAAAAGTAATCGATGCATCCCTAATTTTTACAGTAGGCAAACATCCAAGTCTATAACCCCCCAAAAAAGCACCCAGGCAACATTAGGGCAGGGCATCCCAGGAGCCAGGTAAGCAATGTTCCTTAAAAGTTATAGCATGCACCTAGCTGTTGAGGCTTTAGTTAAGCCGGTTGCTTAAAATCCTCCTCACTGCTCATTTGGACATACTAGCTCCTGAATTGTCCATCAATACAAAAACAACCTTATCCCACTGCATGGTCCACACTGTAAAATAAATAGGGAATCTAGTACTGAAGGGATTGTATGGTTATGGCTGAGGCAGAACCCATTGCAGACAGACACCCTAGACATACAAGAAACAAAAGCAGAGTCAACCATATTGTATTTTTTAAAATGCAATTTGATAAGTTTCCAGGTGAGGGGAATAATCATGTAATGCAATGTTTTGCCTTATGCTCAAGCAGCTAGGTTCCCAACATGATAGAGAAGAATTTGGCACAACTGTCTAAGCAGTTTAAAGTACAATAGTAAAATAAATATAACATTGTTGGGAAAGGACATGGAAAGGAGGGATTAAGCCACCATTCTACAAAAGGAGTGGCTTGCAAGGACGTGATTTTATCCCAAGGACGAAGCATCCTCTGTCTTTCCCCATCCTACATGATGCTACAGTTCGTAGCCCAGCAAACCATTTACCAGTCGTTGGATTGGATCAGTCCCGAATGACGAAAGATTATTCAGTAGGTCTGTTCAACCCCCTGTATACAAACCCTGCTTGTAACGTCCTTGACTATGAATCTTCCTGGTTGCGGAGCCCTGCCTCCACTACGTCACAAATGCAGCATTTTGTTAACCCTTTGGATTCTGAATGTAAATATTCTCTTTTAACCTTACGAGATACTGTAGTTGCAGGGGACATCTGGCATTTAAAATTTGCCTTTCAAGTGAAGCAAGTGACAAATTTCTCATTTAAGAGCTGGCAGAGATGCTGGGTGTCTGAACACATCCTCCATTCATCAACATGCCAGCTCTCACGTAGAGTCTCCTCAGCATCGGGGCATGCTCAGAAAGATCAGGTCACACCGGTTTCAAGGGCACAGAGGGCAAAGCGTAACAGTGGACCATTGTGGGGCATCCTATAACGTTTCATAAGGCAAGTGGCGCAGAGGATTTTGTCTGATCGCCCATTTCAATAGAGATATGGGTGGTAATAAATTTGCTCTCCACACTGCCTCATAGGAAACAGCAGGAAACAGCAGGAGATCAGACACCATTAGCAGGTTTGCAAACCAGGCACATGGAAGCTTCTTAGGTGACCTGATCATATGTAGCTCAATCGCCAAATTCCTCAGTCCAGGGCACCTTTAACAAGCTAGTAATAGAACCTAGATTTCATGTCAGTCTGCCATTGAGGAACCATGTCTTCCACTATGCGCTGCAAAAAAAACAAAAAAAAAAAACACACCCACACCTTTGACCACGCCAGAAAGCAATGTACAGTGTTGCATGTTTTCCAGACAGTACAAAGGTTGACATGAAAGGACAGATGAACATTTACTGCAGTCAACACAAATCCCAGTCAGGTCAGCAGTGACCCACTTCTAAAGCCAGGCTCACTCAATGCCTAGAGATGTGCAGCTTTCATGTAGCCATTCTAATCCAGAACGGCGTTCTATGGCTGCCTTTAACCCATTCATAACCATGATATACCCTCCACATCAAGTTCTCTTAAAAGCTTCTGATTTGCATTAGAACACCTTGCTACAGTGCAGAGAAAGCTTGTGCTCATTTGCGGAGGGGGCGCATTAGTCATAAAATCACTTCCTTTCCTGCACAGGCTGGCCCCTGGCAACTGAGAGGTGGAAAATCCAGTGAATCAAGCAGCAGCATTGCTCATTTAAAGAAAAAGGTCTGCTGTGTGGACGTGCAGTTTCTCACACATTAAATTAGAAAACGTGACAAGGGGGAAACTAGTCATCCACACATTTGGATTTTCAGCAGCAACCTGGTCCCCATTAGGAGTAAGGGGATCCCCAGACTTCCCAATAAGCAAAGTGCAGTAATCAAATTCAGATTTCAGTTTAAGATGCGATTAAAATACTGAAATGCGATTGGCTGCGGCATTTTTCCTTATGAAAGTGTCCTTGAAGCCGGCTCTGATGACATACCTCCCCTAGCAACCAAGCCATTCTTACGGAGCAGATTTATTCCAAATACACATCCATATTACAGTTTACAGCCAGTCTCATACTTGCTTGGAAACAAAATCTGATTTTAATTCTGTCACATACAGCAGACCGTCAAAGGCTCAGCTGCTGACTTCTGCGGCCGCATTATATTATATTCCTGCACAGGCACAAAAATAGAAAACACTATCTTACTACGCAAGCCTGCGTTCCTAGCTTTATAACATGGCAGCCGCTATAAGACAGCTGCATGTACCACACCCACCTACCTAGTGCAGACACCAAATTTAATTTAATATCTAGCCAAGTTAACCCATTTAATCCCAGGTCTCTTAGCATCTTCAAGTACAGGCTTAGCAACACAAGCACCCAAGGGAAGGCAATGATGCAGTGTGACTCCACCGAGACAGCAACCATTTTAAGACGATGACTCAGTTCCTCTACTTGCAGTCATCTAAGAGGCTTGCAACCTATTGTACAAGAGAGGAAATAAAAAGACATTCTAGAATTTCAGCACAAGGAACATAAGAAATGCTCACACCTCATTGATGTCAGTTGAGCAGTAATGAATGGGCAGTTTTTGCAAACTGTTGCACAACGCAGCTGGCAACACAGCAGCAAAGGGGTTAAAGGTAAAAAAGCCTAAGTAAGGAATCAGTAACCCACCCTATGCATGGGGACTTCTATTTCTGTCAAGCAGCAGCTGAGACCTTAGCATCTGTCTCAGGCTTGCATGACTAGGGTCATCTTCACATTACATGAAGTTACACCGTCACCAAGCAGACACAAGATGGAAGCCATCTACTACTAAGCAACCATGTTTATTCTGCATGAGCAGGCCTTGATTCATTCTTGATCATATAGCAACATGGCAGAAGCCCAGCAGCAGCCGCCTTCGCTATTGAAAGTTGCTGTGTTGCATAACACAATATTGAATGCGATTAAAGGGGCCTCCGACACAGTTTACATAACAGTCTATTTTATATATTTTTTCTAGGAAAGTGCTATGGCCTGTCTTGGGGGACCCCAACACATCAATAGCTAAGAAATGGATAGCTACAGTATATGTAAATGGTATAATGCACAGCTAACTTCTGCATAATAGAAGACTCATGCAACACAGTATGTAATGGTCCTGAAGGGTGAACAGAGTTATCGGTAACCTCCTAGCTCCACCTGAGCTTACCTGCACTGCTAGTTCTCCGGTTTGCGACTGAGAAGAGGAGACGTTATCTCCGCGGCGATCGGCTTTTATACCCAGCGAACCCAGTACATGGCCACGCCCCCTCCGCTGCTGTCACACACGCCCCCTATGGGATCCATGGCTGTACGCTATTGGCTGGGAGACGCTCGTGCCACTGTACTGAGACAGACCGGAAGTGCTGTGCGTAGCTGTCACTCACAGGTGGCCAGGGGCTCTACGTGCTGCTGGGAGAGCGGTGCTGGTTGGGCTGTCTGGTGTTGTGTGTCATAGACAGAACTGGCAACTGCGCCATTGGAAGGTGCCACACAAATAGGCAACTCATGAATGTGGCTTCTGTGTACCGCTGGAGGAAGTGTATACCGATATCTGGGTGCTATGTTACTGCACTTTTACTAAAAGTAAAGAGAGACCTTTCTGTAACTTTGTGTCCAACACATGCAACATAAATTATTATTATTATACAGGATTTATATAGCGCCAACAGCGTGCAGCGCTTTACAATATAAGGAAGACATTACAATCACAATACAATTCAAGACAAGATGGGAAGGAGGGCCTGAGTTACAAACATCCGAGTTACATACGACTCCTACTTACAAACGGAGGCTATTAATGTACAGCAGGGGGTCCCAGGCTGCAGCCAAAGTGTACCACGTAGCATTTCAGTAGTTGTAATGCTACCATGCTCATGCCAATGAGGAGTGCTCGCCTTTTTGGGTCTGGTTTGCAGTACTATACGTACATTACAGGAAGTTGGCTCTTGTTAGACGTGCAGACGATGGGTGCCTCTTCTCCCGGGTCACTGTGAGGTTTTCCCTGCTGTCTGTATCCTCATTAGAAATATTTAATCTCACTTCCTGTCTTGAGACAACAGGAAGTGAGAGGAAATCTACCCGTAGGAGGGGACATTCACTCCTGTAAGAGTTATCATGGGAAAAAGGTGTCTCCAGAGAAGCTTTATCACCAATCCTTGTTGCCACGACAACCCAAAACTTTCAAAATCCAATTGTCACAGGGACAGAAAGTGAGGTGAAATCTTCTGAACAGGGGCGTACACAGCAAAACAAATGTTACAGGGGGGTTAACCCTTCCCTATGCTATCCAAAACTAAAAAAATTTTGGCTGGACTTACATTTAAAAATGTACTGTTCCAACTTACATACAAATTCAACGTAAGAACAAACCTACAGACCCTATCTTGTTTGTAACCCGGGGACTGCCTGTACACTGTTTCACTGTAAGCAAAGATATTCTTCTGCTGCAGGGCAGTAAATCACCTTTAGCTTCTCAGAAACCAGCGAGTGTTAGTTTTGCCACAAGCAACAAAGAGATATAGTT